GAGTGCATCTATGCATTTTCCGTATAAATGCATCCATATATTTAGGACACTATGTCATTATGTAAAGTAAGTATGAGAACTCTTCCAAATGGAGCAGATGTGTTGGGAGATTGCTATATTTGTTGCAAAGTTCTTCTTGTTGTTTTTTTTAAAAATCCAAATGATGTTTACACTGAGTGCATCCATACTGAAGAATTAATGCAGATTTACAGCATTGTAACTGACATGGCTCATAGCTTTGGAATCCTGAGATTTGTAATTTTGTGAGGGACCAATAGTCTTCAGCTAAAAACCCTGAAAACTACAATTTGGCACCACTTTAGCTGCCATGGCTATGTTATCTTTAGCCTTGTTTGCTAAAGAATACTTATATCTCACCAAATAAAAATCCCAGAATTCCATAGTTTTGAGCCATGGTATTTGAAATGATGTAAAAGTGCATTAATTCTACAGTGTAGATGCAAACTTAGTTTTTGGGGGAAAGTTCCTGTGTGGTTTGAGTGCATTGTTTTGCATAAAAATAGTAGGCAAAATGTCAGTTCTTGCTGCCAAAGTTGTAAATTTAGTTGTGAAATCCACAATGGGTTTCAGTATTTGATTTCAGGATCTGCCAAAGCTCTCCATTGCATTCAGCATCCTATGCTGGTTACATCCATAGTATACCAAGGACTAGTTAACATGTAATGGTTTATATTCTGCTAACTATATCGTATCAAGCAATGATGTTCCTGTCTAAATGAGCCATAGGACACAGAACCTTCATCCCATTCAATGTTCACAACATTTCTGTGGTTGTCTCTTGGTTAGAAGATGTCAAAAGGTGTGATACGAACAACAATATATCTTACATATCCTTTTTCAATCTCAATGCAAGAAGAGTTAATTAAAACCACAAGTGTGGACTTGGAACTATATCAGGTCAAAACTAAATAGTATTTCTCTGACAATATAGCAGGGGTTCTCATTTTATTTTTATTTTTATTTTTGCACTGTGTGAATTAGTTCACACAAACATTCTCCATCCATCGGCCTATGCCTGATATATATACAATATATAATATAATACAATATAATAACATTTCTTGGGGCTCCATAAGAATTTTTTGGGCTTTGTGGCTGAAAAGGTTTTAGAACCCCTGCTATATAGTGCTGTAATCATTCTCTAATTTTCTTCTTAAAGGAGGCAACAAGTACTTTTTTACAATTTTCTTCCTACTGTGAAAAAAAATATTCACAACCATTGCTCTCAAAGCCTATTTGAGAGCAACAAATTGTGCATTTGTTGATTCACAATTTTCATATGGTGGTTTTTCAGAAAGAAGAAAATTGTCTGTACAAAAAAGAGCATTTTCTGTGCAAAATTCGGTCCCACACAAAAAAGGCTGTGAATTTTGTGCAGAATGTTTGCATATTCTAATCAAGAAACAGCAAATAAATATTGGTTTGTGTGCAGAAAATACTGTTTTCTGCACAAAATAATCATGTGTGAATTTTCCATAAAATAAATCCTGAACTGCAAATATAATCATCAGTCCAAGATTCTTATCAGTTTCTTAAAACTAAAGAAATATGTTCCTTTGACATTTGTAAAGTATCTTTTTACTTAGAATTCATAATTATCTGAATAAAGGAGGAAGCAGGTGAGAACAGCATGGTTAGTCACTGCTATGCCATTCATCTGCCCTATGATCAACTATAAGGTCATGACAGGAACTTCATTAAGAATATGTAGTACTTGCAAATACCTATAAATGTAAATAATCCACTTGCTCCCCTATTACAAAGGCAAGATCAAATCACATTCATTCCACCACTCATTTTATAAATGCATGGATTATTTTTTAATTTTTTTTAAAGTCCCACATTGGATCTGAGGTTAGAGTGTTATTTAGCTTATTACTCACAGTCAGGGAAGCCTGAGGGAGGATAAAGCTGGAGTCTTCAAATACTTTCAAAGTTCTCTTGGAAGATAAAATGCCAGCTGTTCAAGTATGGCCACATTGATGGAGAGGCCAAAAGCCTTGGCATCAAGTTACAAGGAAGACAAGTGTGGCCAATTATTAAGAAATTCTTTGTGAGTGACTTGTCCCCAGGACTGCAACTTAAATAATAACTTAAACATTCTGGGAAAATAACAGTTTCTCTTAATAGAAACACTAGTCAAGTATTGTTCATAACTTGAAAACTGTATGTTATAACCTAATTTTTGTTGTCTGATTTCTAAAATAAAATGTGTAAAATCAGAACACATTTGATAAAGTGATAGACAACTTCATCTTGCCTTTCTGCACACCCATTTCTGCATTTGCACTTTTTTTTTTGTTTTCTCTATAAACAGTGAAGCAATCTGGCCAGTTTGTAAAATATTTAAAACTATGAAATACCTGCTTGATATAAAACAATGTAAAATCTAAAAACGAAAACAGCTAGAGAATAAAAAGCACAAACAACTGAAAGATAAAGGGCGTATCTACACCAACAGGTTACTCTGATGTAAATCTGACCTAGAGCAGCCACAGATCCAGCACATACTTGCTGCATTGATGCTGGTGTACTGATAGACCAGGATCACATTGGCCCCACTGAGCTGTTACCTCATCCTCTGTGCCTACCAGCCACAAAGCTCTGTTCAAGCACCTGGTCATCACCTGTTGCATCTGCTCATATCTGAATGGGGTACTTCCATGAACAACAAGAAGGAAGAGGTTAGTCTCTTCCCCTCCTTGCTGGTTGCATGGGCACTGCATTTTGATATCAATAGAAACAACAGCAAGATATTTGGATGGAGCTGACAGAGAACATCGGCAGCAACACTATAGATGAGGTGACAGTCCATTGAAGCCAATATGGTCCTGGCCTGTCTGGACACTAATCCTGGATTTAACATTTATTCTGGGGCATATTTACATTGTAGTAACTACTCCAGTGTATTGTCACTCCATTCTGATATCAGCAAACATGATGGCAAAAAGCAGGTATTTGAACAGAGCTGGTTTGGAGTAGCAGCCATGGCATGTAAGAGAAGCCATCCTCTTTCCCCTACACAGATCAGGTTGAAGGTGGTGGAGTCCATCTGGTGAGGAACTGGAATTGATCCAGATATTCTGATCACTGCAAAGATCCAGGATATCCCAGTGTTTCCAGCGAACTCTGGAGTATCCTCTAAGGCCCCTTATACACTGCCATATAATGCAAAATATCAAATCCACATTATCTGGTTTGAACTGGATTATCTGAGTCTACACTGCCAGAAAATCCAGTTCAGAGTAGATAATCTGGATTTTATATGGCAGTTTAGAAGGGGCCCAACTTTGCCTATAGTGGGCCAACATTAATTTAAAAAAAAACTCAAGATACTAACCCTCTGTCTCCACTATGCATTGTGGAGACAGATAGCAGTGGATTTGTGGTGAGTCCAGTTTTTTAGCCAGTGTAAATAAATCTGAAGAGACCTGGGAACCAACAAAAAGACCACAGCATAGATAGCCAACAAGCTTTCTAGGGAAAGTATTTTATATCAGCGTACCACTGTTGAAAAGTCCTTCTCTCCACTAAACATCAGTAACTAGGGCCCCATCTACACTGCCAAAAAAAACCAGATTATCATTTTTGTAATCTGGATTATATGGCAGAGTAAATCCAGCCTATATAACATAAGATATTGTTTGTTATTCAAAAGAAGAATGTTTTCATTGAGTGTATTTATTTTGAAGCAGAGAGTTGCTGTGTTGTGCAAAGATGGGATGCTTTGTTGTTGATTCTGGTTGTAGGTGCACTGCAAAATTATAGCATGTTGATATCACATTAACTGCCAGTGCTCAATACTATGGAATGCTAAGATTTGTAATTTTGTTAGATGTTTACCCTTCTCTGTCACAGCAAACTACAAATCCCGAGATTCTATAGGATGGAGCTATGGCCGCTAGTGTGGCATCAAACTACTATACTTCTGCAGTGTGGATACAACCTTTGTAAACCAATTCCCACATCCATATATACTTACAGAGATTAAACAGCTACATTTACATTACTTTTGCCCAACAAGTGGGCATTTGTTTTCATCACTCTACCTACCTTGGAAGGTTTGTGTATATTTTTTACAAAGCTCACCTTTCCATTGGAAACTTAAAGAATTTGACCGATTTCTCAACAACATAAAGCTTCCTTCTGAAGTTGTAAACAAAATTCAGTCTAGCCTTCAGTGTTCAAAATTCCAGGTATAGTGAAAACACTCATTAAAGTTTGGCACATTTTGAGGATCTTTAACCATTCTGAAGTGTCATGGGAGGATTTAAACCTGCCAGAAGAAACTTATCTTTAGGTGGGAAACTTTTGCTCAGTTTCAATACCTGGACAGCACTCTAGCTCTGTGTCACAATAAGCATTCAAACAGTTAAAATCTGTTGAGAAATGCAAAATATTTTTAATGAAACTCAGCGAAAATGAGCTTAGAAAAGTTCCCTTTTTAAGGCTCAGCTTCACACTCTAACTAAATTACAGATGTCATTATTTTACATATTACCCAATATATAAATATGTAAATATATGAGTAAACACTTATATACATTCATGCCCACATTGTGTCACAGCCAAGTCAAATATGAGTTGCATTATACTACTGGGGAAGCACTTTATCTGGGCAGTTAATAGTTAATCTATGGCATGCAAAGTGTGCATATTATTATTACAACAAAGAATTGGCAGCTGCCGAAGGAAAAGGGCTTGTGCCTCTGCCGTTCAAACTTGTCAGTCAACTCATGCCAGTTCTGGACGTCTGCTTCCCCAGCACTCCCTCATTACATGTGTCTGTCTGAGCCGACTTGCTCATCTGTTTGGAGACACACTGCATAAATCGGGAATTCTCCCTCCTCTGTGGAATCACAACCCTTTCCTGAAGCATCTGCCTTACCAGCCTCCTCCGTCTTTTCCTTAAGGGTGCTCCTGTTTGCTTATGCATTTGTCTCCCAGCTGCTTTCACAACCTCTACATTTGATTTCTAGAATGGAAGAAGCCGAACTGCTGAAAGAAAGATTGCAGGCCATCACGGTAAGTGTTTATCGTGATTACATATGTATAATGCTGCTTTAGAGAATCATTAGCAAAGCTGGAGCACTTCTCTCCAGACTGTCTGAGATCCTTTGTTTCTGTTCTTATTTGGTTTGCCTTTGGAGACAGCAAACTTTGGGGATTCAGCATAATTCTCTGTGTGAATGACACTTTTGGAGTGTATATGATTTGACAGTTAGATCTGGGTGCTTGAATGCAGCCAACGTGGGAGTCATGCTATGTTTTATATCAGGCATATGCGATGCTGTCATTAAGGCTGAGGCTGGGTGAGCATGCCTGCCTGGCTGCCTGCATTTGAAGGTCAAAAAGCTAGGGAAATGCTAGAGCGGAATAATTCCTTAATACAAAGAGAAGCACACAGGACACTAAGCATTTTGCTTTAGTTAAATGAGTTGGTAGTTTATGTGAACTCCAAAGTTTTTAGAAAAGAGCACACAGGGTGATATTCAAACCAATTCATATGGTGGTCAGATGACATTATGCAGTAAAAATATATGTGAAGCAGTTGAATGAAGCAGATTCAGAAGTGGGTGGAGATTATTTTAGAGGAGAAAGATATGAGGCACTCACTTCAGCAACGAAAAAATGCCTCCAACACATGCTATAGTCCTCACATTCTCACGTTAATTGTTGCTGTGCACTTTCAAATTGTTTCCTTGGGAGACCCCAAGGCAAACTTAACACCGGATTTTAGGAGGCTGAGAGTGTGTCACTTACCCAAGGTCATCTAGTGGGTTTCTATTTTGCTGACTCGAACCCTGGTCGCTGGTTCTCAGGGTTATTACTTTATCATTTTATTCATTTATATATTTATTTATTTATTTGATTTATATACCGCTTTTCTCACCCCTAGGGGGACTCAAAACATAATCACAACATAATCAATGGCAAAGATTCAATGCCTCACATCCATATAAAAGAAAAAAAACACATTACAGGCCTTAAAACAATCACATATAACTATAAATTAAAATCATTTAAAAACTATACAAACCATCAGACATAACCATAAAATATTAAACATTAATATATATAGACATTGCATCGATCACATGGTTTCCTTTAGCTGCTTGCGTATTGCTATCATTCGTCGAATGCCTACTTGCACAGCCAAGTTTTGAGCTGTTTCGTGAACACCAGGAGGAAGGAGGCCGATCTTATCTCACTGAGGGGGGAGTTCCACAGTTGAAGGGCCACCAACGAGAAAGCCCTGTCTTTTGTCCCCACCAATCGTACCTGCGAAGGTGGCAGGACAGAGAGCAGAACCTCCTCAACCAATCTTAATGTGCTAACTGGTTCATAAAGGGATATATATTCAGACAAGTAAGCTGGACTGGAAAGATTTAGGGCTTTATAGGCTGAAACCAGCACTTTGAATTGTGCTTGGAAGCAGTCTAGCAGCCAGTGGAGATGACACAACAGGGGGGTTGTACACTCCTTGTATGCTGCTCCAATAAGCAACCTGGCTGCCACCCGTTGGACTATTTGAAGCTTCCAAACAGTCTTCAAAGGCAATCCCAGTTAGAGGGCATTGCAGTAGTCTATTTAAGATATATTGTTAAGTACCCTTTAGAAATACTGGAGCTAATGATAAAATTACAAATAAATTGAAGATTATAATTACAATTAAAACATGAAGACATGGATTAAAAACACACAAAAAGAACAATAAGAAGAAACAATTCCCCAAAGCCTGCCTTAATTAAAAAAGGGCCTTTCTCTGGCCAAGGAATGACAACTTGGAGAGTGTGAACTAACCTTCCTTAGCAGAGAATTCCAAAACTTGGGCATAACAACTGAGAAGGCCTAGGAGACCATTCAAGCTAAGAAATTAGCTTTTCTTTTAGAACAAGGCTTTGATTGGCAGTTAGCTTTGTCATGCAGTAATATTCATAATCAGAGAGAACACTTCTGAAGTTAGGCACAACTTCCTTTGCTAAAGAACACTTCAAACTTTGGGTTGATTTGGATTTTTATATATTTATGTTGTTCTCAATATGAACCAAGAGGCAAATCTTAAAAGTCATGGAATAATGGGTTACAATGATTTTCTTTAATGTGAGTTTAGCCTCAGTTCATCCCACCCACATAGAGCAAAGGCTCCTCCTTGGCAAAATGATGTCAGCCCCAGGTTGTGTAGGCAACCTTGCGAATATAGCCTCACTGTATGATCTGCAATATTTTTTGTAATTATTCCAGCAAGGAGAGAATGTGGGTTCCTCCCCCCACCCCCATTATTGTATTTAAGTTTTGTTAAAATGTGATGGAGGGTTTCAGACAAAATATTTCTCTGGGGGAAAAGGTATGGGGTTAAAAATTAAAAAACAAGATAGCCTTGCTAAGGTCGGTCTCACTATTAAGCAACATGGCAAAATTATCTGAGGACGCATCCAGACAGCCCTTTAAAAGCAGGAGCTCCTGTATTTTAAAATGGAGCATCCAGATGATGTCCCACAGAAAATCAAATTCATTTGCCATAAAGCAGGAAAACTATTTTATAGTGAATTAATTTGTTAGTGGGTTTGTTCCCCACCTTCTTGAAAGGCATGGGGTAAACCCACTACGACTGCTGTCAAGACTGGCCAATCAGAATTCCTAGATCAGCCTGGAAAATGCGAGAGGGCTCTAACCCCATCCCCAACCCAAAAAAATCCCTTTTAAAAATAAAAGAATTTGCCTGGCTTCCATTAGCATGGTGCTGGAGCTCTCTTGGCACATAGGAATTAAGCGCCAGGAGAAAAGAAGGAAGAAAATCGCACTTGCCCCCCACCTTCTCCTAGCTCATCATTCCTACATGTCAGAAGAGCTCCAGCAACATACTAATGGAGGCTAGGTAAGTTATTTCATTTTTAAAGGGGGGTTGGGGGGAATGGGGGCTTTCTCCCTGTTCTCCTAGTAGGTACCGGGAAAACATGTAGACAATACCTGCGGAAAGCATGGGTTTTTTGGTGGAGTGAGGACTACAGTTTGCCTCGACTCGAGTTTTTTGAACCTGGATTAAAGCGGACTTTACCGCTGTCTGGAATCATGCTGAGATAGCAGATGCTATCTTTTACACCACATACTTATAGCACTATGATTCTACATTAACTTCCATGGTAATATTTTATAGAATCCTAGAATATAGGGAGATGCATGTAGAAAGATCACTCAGAGAACTCCTCTGGAGCCTAACCAAACTACAAACTCAAGGATTCCATTGGATGCATCTATGGCATCTATAAGCATATATATGGCATATATATATACCATCTATAAGTGGTATTATAGTGCTGTAATTAAGTAGTGTGGAAGGGCCCCATTTATGTGGCAGTTCTTCTTGAGCATCGGTTTTCCAACCTGGAAGTTGTCCTGATCCCCTAAAATAATCTTCTGTTGCTGCCCTCCCATTCACTTCTGTATGTGGAATGGGAGAGGAGGATGTTGTCCTTTCCTTTGCCTCAGGCAATGAAATATCTTGAACTGGTCATGAGACTCATATGAATATTCTGAGAGTCAACAAACTACTGAAATAAATATTTGAAGAGTCAGCTGAGGGGAAGTGAGAGAGATCTTGTTCAGACACCTTAGAAATATTAAGAACGTGTGCTATTTAATGTGCAAAAGTTAGAGAAAGTGAGCTCATTCAGCAGCAAAAAAAAAAAAACCCACAAACTTCCCTGCTCATAGGTATATCTAGAAGCACACCTATCTAGCAATTGGAGAGTTTGCTCAATTTGATGCTTTACTCTATTAATGACTGGATTATTTCAAGGCTATCTGCAGACATTTACTAGGAAAAGAAAGCCTGAGGTTCAGAGATTGGTAGCAGGATCAAATTCTTGAATTCTGGATTAACTGAACCACTCAAAACTGCTACCAGGATGTACCTCAGTAAACAAACTCTAAAAATAGAACTCACTAGAGATCAACAATGTACCAGCTATCATTCTTTGCTCAAATTTGTCAGCTGCCAGTGTTAGAGAAGTAGAGGCTTCAGCTATTGCAAAGGATATAAACATTATAGGGACAAATGTAAATATTAGACTATCAAATTATTTACTTGTTTATGTTTACCTTTGCATGTGCTCAAGATTACTCCTATCTGCAAAGAATATTCTTCTTTAAGTTTTGAGCAGATAATGAAAATTGGCCCAAGCCTGCTTGATCATTCATATCTAACCAAAATTGCCTCTTATCAACCTAACTTGTTTTACTTGGTTTTATATTTAAATTAATTGTTTTTAAATTGTATTTTATGTCTTTGATATTGACTGTAAACTGCTCCAAGTTGCCTGTGGGCTGAGAGGGGCGGTATATAAATGTAATTTTAAAAAACTTCACTTGAATCCCCCTTTTTGTTTCTCTGGCATGCTAGTAAATGCATAAAGAGCATAGATATTTTTTGAGATATTGGTAAAATAGCTCTTGGAATTAGATCAAATTAATTAGAGTTTGTTTTCTTCTAATTATTGTTCACTGAAACAAAATTATTCAACAAAAATAATGTTCAAAATGCATGTCTAAGATAAACATCCTTCATGTGGTCTTTTGTTTATTCTTTTGCTTATGCTGATATAGACACTTTATCTGGAAAAAAAAACCAAATGCCTGCAAAAGTGTACTGAGATTTGTTTTCAACATACAGCATGCTTGGCCTTTTCTTTTCCTAAGGATGCATTGGAATTGCAGTTCTGTCCCATTGTTTGTAACTTTCAAAGGGTGCATCTACATTACCATATAATGCAGTGTAAGTCACATTAGCCAGATGCATCCACAGAATACAGGCAGGCTAACGTGACTGAATCCAGGGTAAGCCATTTAATGTGTCTGCACCCAGGATTCAACCCCCTCCCCCAGGAAAGTTTGACTCCTTCTCCAGGATTTGGATCTTCCCTTGTGTTGGGGCTGGGGGGACAGCCGTCACATTCCTCAGGTTCAAGGCAGCCCAGAGAGGTGGGATGGCAATCCCTTCCTAACCTCTGCATCCCCCAATCTTTCCCCAGAGAAGAAGAAAAAGCATCTACTGCAAGATATCATCCTCCTTTTTTCTGGTTTCAAGTCATGTGACTGGCAAAGGAACCTGGAAAGAGGAGAAGGGAGGCAACTCAGGACAACCTTGTCTGGCATCAATGCAGCTTGGAACCAACATTTTTCATGGCACATTATGTGCCTGTGTAGAAGGGCTTGAAGTTAGTGCATTCTATGATGCTTTAACTACACTATAGTTCACAGGATTCTTAGATGAAACCATGGCAGTTATGTGTGTCTACTGCATTATCCTATTGACTCAAATCTAATGCTCACTTTTTTGGCTAAATTATCTTGCCAGAATTAAGGTGCACAATTGGTTTGCTTTATACAGCAATCCTACCACTTCATCACACAGGGTATTTTTAGAATTCTAGGATGCTTCCCCTTCAGTCCAGTGGTAGCTCATCACACCAGGTCAGGAGACCCCACCCACAACCAGAGTGGAAGCATCGTAGGAAGCTTCCCTCCAAACACGAGAACCTGCCTGTGTTGTGGTAGCTCCAATGGAGGTAGCACAGATCCGTGTGACTTTGGCAATGCTTCCCCCATATGATGGGAGAAGCATTGCTGCGAGGGAATGACGGATTCACCCCACTGCCCCTCAGTTCACTAGCAAAGCCACTAATGTGAAAAGGTCCTTAGTTCTTAACCAAAGCAAAAGGGAAGCTGCTTTAGGAGTACCTGGAGCACCTATTTGAAGGACATCATCTCTGATTTAATTGCCATGGATCAATTATATGCAATTCTAGTTTGGCGAGCTTCTGCATTATTTAGCAGAAAAGGCTCAAGGCCTTATTTAACTATTGCCCCCATGATTCCATAACATTGAACCAAAGGAATTAAAGTGGATTCATTCTACAGCATAGATGCATCTCAAGGTGTTCTTTCCCATTGCTGGAAGCTACACTTTTGTTTTTAAAAAAGAAATTCCAAGCATGCAGCAACTGTAATGCATATCTTTTTGGCCAAATTATAAGAGTGCATTTTTTGCCACTGCACATTGCATTCAGCAGCAAACTTTTTGGTTGCAGGGTTTTGAAAATTGAAGTGTACATGATTTGATGGTGCATGAGACTCAAGTAAATATAGTATATGGCAGTGTAGATTCAGCCCATGACTCCAGAGGCAGTATTATAGCTAATGCTATCTATAAGTTTGTCTTCATATTTTCCTACTGTCTTCTACCTTACTTAACATAACAGTGTTTTGGAACAAGTCGTGTCTTCTCATGATGAGATCAATGTAGGATAGCCTTAGTTTGGTGATCTTGGCTTGTAGTGAGAATTCAGACCTGATTTGTTCTAAAACTCATTCATTTGTCTTTTTAGTAGTTCACAGTATCCATAGTTCTTTCTCCAGCATTGCATTTCAGATGCATTGATTTTCTTCCTATCAGCTTTCACTGTCCAGCACAACTATACAAAGAAATGAAAAATACAATGGAATGAACAATTCTAATTTTACTATTCAATAGTATACACTTTAGGATCTTATCTAGTTCCTTCAAGCTACATTCTGTGAACATCTTTCTACTTTTTTCTTATCATCCTCTATTTGAGATTAATGCATTCCTCTTTCTAGCAGTTTAAAACAACTCCCTAGCACCACGTCTCCAATTCTAAAACCTTTTTGTGACCATTATACCTCTTTTCAGTCTACAAAAGTGCTTAATTGCATGTGAAATCATAATTATAGCATATTTGTCACCTTTGTTTCTCACCATTCAGGCCCAGCAAAATGAAACTTCATTTTATTTAACATCTCACAAGGATAATGTTACTGGCATGTCTTCCTTTTTCTTGAAACCTTTCTTATAGCACTTAGTTCCAATTTCAAAGGTGAATCAGGTAAGATACAGAGTGGTAGCTCTGAGAAATTTCTAAGCAAATTTCTACACCTATAATCACAATAATGAGGAGCTATGACTTAATCGGTCCTCCTTCAAACTATGGCTCATACCACTTTCAATTACTGTTAGTTTTATAAACTGCCACCAGCTGCCTGTAAAAAAGCCACAGGTTACTCAAAAGTTTCCAGCAAACTCAAGAGTATCCCCTGATTTTTCTTAAAGCAGGGCAAAGCTAGTTTAAAGCTAAAAGGCACAGAATACTCACCAGGAGTAGCTGTGCATCATGAAGACAGTCAGACTTCCATTCACAGTGAACCCAGGGTTTTTGCTTTTTGTAGGCACACTCCTAATATGTGAAAGTGCGAAGCCCACTGTCCTGGTTTTCTTCCCCTTCCCCAATCCCGAAGCCAGATATGACTTCAATAGGTTTTAATAAAGGTTTAACATTTTGCTTTTATGAACTTTTACATATCAGAACTACAACCAATGTGAATGCTAGTTGCATTCACATTAGCCACATTACTTTTGTTTGTTTGGGGAGGAAGTTGCCACAGGGATGGCTCATATTGAGTGGATCATTTGACACACTTGCCATAAGCATAGAGTTATTCTATACATAGGAGCCCCCAGTAGTGCAGTGGGTTAAACCGCTGAGCTGCTAAACTTGTTGACCAAAAGGTCGCAGGCTTGAATCCAGGGAGTGGGGTGAGCTCCCACTGTCAGCCCCTGCTTCTGTCAACCTAGCAGTTTGAAAACTCCTCTCCAGGTGGAAGGTAATGGCGCTCCATGCAGTTATGCCGGCGACATGACGTTGGAGGCATCTATGGACAACACTGGCTCTTCGGCTTAGAAATAGAGATGAGCACCAACCCCCAGAGTCAGACACAACTGGACTTAATGTCAGGGGAAAACCTTTACCTAACCTATTCTATACATAATCCACATTGCACCTGAAGCATATTTTCAGCTGAGGCAAGCTCTTTCTCACCAGTAAAGAGCAGGAAAACATGCCACCACAAGCCATGTAAATGAATGCTCTAGCCCTTAAACCTGTCAACTAGATGTGGCAATTTTAAACTAAAGGCATATACAATTATTTCATTAATGACTCGTTCACTTATGCATTTAGGGGAAACTAGAGGCTTGCAGCCAAAGATTGGGCAGGCGGTTTTTAATTAATGTGTGAATATCAGTCTTACGTTTCTCCCTAGCTTCTGAAATTGTTCTCTCCACATTCTCTTCCATTTCTTTTCTAGTTTTGCTTCACCACTTAACCTCAATATTTCCATTTTCTCTTCTTTAGCTTAGGATCACTAACTTTTACAATATTTCTTTCTTAGGCTTCTTCTTATTCTCATTCCAACCTTTACCAAAAGTCTTCTGCATGCCCTCTACATGGTTGGAGTAGCTTAGTCAATGACAGTCAGAGACTCTGGGATCAGAACTTCTTAGCCAACATCAATATGTATTCCAACATAAGCTAGTCAACAGAGTTACTTTTTCTGCTTTGGTTTAATGAATAAGTTAAGACCACTAGCGTCCTAAACAGCCCCACACATTTCCTTAGAAGAGGGCTGGCTGGATCTATGCTGCTGGCCCCCACTCTATTTCCCATCATCCTTCACCACTGGTAGTACCAGTGGAGCGAATGGATATTAAGATTCCAATAACCATCTGAAGGATCATAAGTTGCTCAACTTTACTATTTTAAATAGTCCTTCAACATATATTAGTAGAGAGCAGGATTGGAGCCCAAAATTATGCATTTTCATATGACTCTTAGATAAGTCAAGTGTCGTTTCACAGAGAGGAAAAACACAAACACAAGCACCAACTCAGGAAGCCAGCTGTTCTTAGCCATAACTGCCACTTTTCATACCCAACATTCAATGCCATGGTGGAGAGAGTAGAGCGGATCAGTGTTTTCTCCAAGTTCTTCCAAAACAAATTAAACTCTTTCTTTCCACCACTTTACTCAGAGAAGGCAACATTTTCTTATTTGATTAAAATGTCTAAACTTATACATGAGTATGTACATTAATTCTGTAAATAAAAAAAATGCTTGCTCTGTTTTAACCTCATATAATTGCACCCAGTGGTTACATGCCAGTAGGTTTAAATTGCCAATGAACTAAATGTATTATCTAATCAGATGTGGGTTTTGTTTCATTTTGTTTTGTTTTTGAGCCTGCTATAGATGAGACTAAAAACATTGTATGTGATTTTTAGGACAAGAGGAAACTGCAAGAAGAAATCACACAGAAACGCCTGAAAGTAGAAGAAGAAAAACTAAAACATCAGCATCTGAAGGTAACTTTTTGAAAACTAAAATAATTTACTGTTTGCCTTGGTTCTTTGGAGATTTGTGGCATAAAAAGAAGCTTGATGGTTGGCCATGGAGCACTTGACACAAGTTCATAAAAGAATCCTTTTTGTTTGTACCTATCTCTGTAAGACTGGATTTCCACTGCTTCTTCAAATGAAAACCAAAACAAGAAGCAGATTAATGGTGAAAATTACATGGGGATTTTAAGCTTATCAATGAGTTACAATTTCAAACATCGCATTAAATATGTTGTAAGTTAACATAATTTTGAACTACATTATACTGAAAAAATATTTTCTATGTATTCTCATCTACCCTATTTCAAAGCCTATTTTTAATGTATCAAGTTTGCAGATCATTTTGTCTCTGTAAAATGGAGTCACACCTTGAAAAAGTTGGGAACCTCTGCTCTAACCACGATGCCCCTAACATAAATTCAGTTACAAGTCCCATCTAAAGGTAACCCATTAAATGGGTTGCTGAAATAATTTACATAAGTCAACATGTATGTAAATCCCATTGCTTCAATATTTTTTGTCTTGCTTGATCTAGCAATTGAGTTTTGGCTTGTGTATTTATGTGTAAATCAGCCTTACATGAATCAAGGAAGAAACAATACAGATCAAAGTGCAAACGCATGCATAAATCTCAGTGTTTCCTTAACCTTTCTCAGTGTTTCCCTAACATTTAATTTAAGAGGTTTAATCCTCTTGCTTCTTTGGTTTATAGGTGCAATTTGCACTTTATTCATTAGGAAACAATGGACTCTACTAAGAGGCACCAAACACTTCAGAAACCACATAGATAGCAATCTAGATGTGTTGAGTCATGTTGTTTTGCCATTGAAGATGAGATCATGGTCAGAAATAATTCCTTGCTAAAAGTATGGCTGCCGCTTTGCCAACAGGGTGTGTCTGTTTTGGTACTGGCACTTTGCCTTATACACTATAACCATTAGATTCAACAAAACATTGTGCAGAACACCTTGCTGCTATCCTCATATAGTTATGTATTTTATCTGGCAAAAATCTTCAATCAATTAACTTTAATAGATCTTAAAGGAAAAGATGTTCTAAGCCTGTTTCCCACACATAGGGGATGCATCTGCAGATTTTACACTCATGTCAAACCTGCCAAGTTCCTTGGTATGGAATCCCAATGACTAACGGATCAAGTAACCAGCCTGACATGAATGGAAAGGCAGGGGAGGGAAGAGAATGACTGAGTCTGTACTCTCATGCCTCAGCATTGCAAGGATAATTTGACATTTCTTGTCGTATTAAACACTGAACCAATTTTTTAAAGTCCATAATGCTCAGTTCTTAACAATACTCAAAAGCATTACACTGTCCTAAAAATATCAGCAATTTATTCCCAGTCCAAGACTTTGGGTAAAATGACTTGGCTGCAAAAATGCAAACACTGCAGAAGTTACACAAATGATTTTGTTAAGTTCCTCCAACTTCTTCAACCTTGAAAAAAATCCAAAATGCAAAGAGCTGGATGACAATGACAATATGTCTACTCTACAGCTCTCTGGCTAATACTTTAGGGTCAGAGTGAGTGCATAAATCATTAGGGATTTATTTATTTATTTATTTATTTCGAACTTATATGCCGCCACTCCCCTGGGGCTCGGAGCGGCTTACAAGAATGGCTAAAATCTAACACAATTTTAAAACATTTTAAAACAATTTAAAAACAGCAATATTAAAAATCAAAGGCCTGTCGAAACAGATATGTCTTACATGCCCTGCGGAAAGCTGATAGTCCCACAAGGCACGGACTTCAGGTGGCAGAGTATTCCAGAGTGATGGTGCCACTGCTGTAAAGGCTCTGCGTCTGGTTGCTGTTAGATGCAAGGTCTTGACACTGGGAATTTCCAATAGATCTTGGTCCTCAGAACGGAGGGATCTCTGGGGTTGGTAGGGGGTGAGGCGGTCCCTCAGGTACATCGGCCCCAGACCATGCAAGGCCTTAAAGGTGAGTACCATCACTTTGAAAGTGATCCGGTGCTCAATTGGTAACCAATGCAGCTGTAGTAAGATTGGTGTTATGTGGCCATCTTCCTGCAACACAGTTCAAAGCAGATATTGTGGGACTTTCTGCCTTGATATCTGGGTTATATGGCTGTGTGGAAGGGCCATAAGTCCTTAGGGCCCTTCCACACAGCCATATATACCCAGAATATCAAGGCAGATAATCCCACAATATCTGCTTTGAATTGGTTATCTGAGTCCACACTGCCATAACCCAGTTCAAAGCAGATAATGTGGGATTTATACAGCTGTGTGGAAGGGGCCTTAGGGCCTTCCACACAGTCATATCCCAGAATTCAAGGCAGAAAATTTCAGTGTGGACTCAGATCACCCATTTCAAAGCAGAAATTGTGGGATTTTCTGCCTTGATATTCTGGGCTATAGGGCTGTGTGGAAGGGCCCTAAGAATGCTAGCTATTACTGGTTTGGGAGATCCCAATAAATAAATTACACCAGTAGGAGTGATTCACCTGTATGTAGGAGTAGCATGGCTCAACCCTAGAATTCTGAATCATAACATCTGAAAGCACTTATTAATCTGTCTGGATCAAATTGCTCAATCTTTATAGTCCCTTTCAATTGTTTGCTGCCACCCCACTGATCTTCAATGTTTATAGTGTGGGCAACACAGCAGGTCTTGCCTCTGATCTGTGCAGACTAGTTGAATAGATACACATGTTAGAATGCACACAAGGATTTTACGGATCTCTAGGGATTCTAGTTTAGTGAGTAACTAGAGCCCTGTGACTGATACTTCTCAATAATCTTGCCTAAACTGCAAGTCCCAGAATCCCATAGGATATCTCTATAGCAGTTAAAGTGAAATTAATGCTGTTCTTGCATAATGTGAAAAAGACCAGTGATCTCTGTATACTCTGTTCAAATGTTCAGTAGAACATGGCTAAATAGGGAGAGGCCAAGACTAGTGTCCCTACATATGGATGTTTAGATGTAATATAAAAAGGTGATAGGATAACATCTGAAAAGGACTACTGTCTGTTTTTCCATTCTTGTCAATTGCCCAACACACTGTAAGAATAGTCATGTTCCCATTACCCAGATATTGGTTATGAGGGTTTTCCTACAGATAACTTGTGTTCCAACAAGGGCAAACATTGATTCTGAGTAGGGTTTAAGGTAGCAATAACATACCAACTTCGAGTTTATCAGGCAATTCAGTGAATGCCAATGGTTCATTATACCTTTAATAGTTGTGTAGATGAGTAAATTTCAACAGTTGTGACATGTCATGCTGAAATTTCCTCTTCTTCACAACCAGTACATGTACTGGAACCTTCTATACTTTTCTATCCTGCTAGTCTATCCACCACCATTTACTGATGTTGCACGGAATCTTTTGCTGGGAGAAAAGTTGGCTATATATTAATTAAATGAATGAATAAAACTATAAATAAAACTATACAAGTAACTAAAAAGGAGTGAAAAAATTCTTCATCAATTTATGGTAATAATGCTATATAGTCGTACATGTGTTATTAGAAAAATACATTAATTGTAACTAGTCATCAGTCGTTAATTTGTTCAAGCTCTCGTTCCAGCAGATAAACAGAAGACTTCTCATTATTATAGACAATATTTCATTACTATGGAGCCCCCAGTGGTGCAGTGGGGTTCTATAGTAATGTGCCAGCAGGACTGAAGACTGACAGGTCAGAGGTTCAATTTTGGGGAGAGCACGGATGAGCTCCCTCTGCTAGTTCCAGCTCCCCATGCGGGGACATGAGAGAAACCTCCCACAAGGATGATAAAACATCAAAAACATCTGGGTGTCACTTGAGCAACATCCTTGCAGACAGCCAATTCTCTCATGCCAGAAGTGACTTGTAGTTTCTCAAGTCACTCCTGACACAAACAAAAATAATTACTGAAACTATTTCATTATTAGGCAGAATTTCATATTTTTACATAATCTGCAGTGATTTCTTGATCTTTTTACACCCCTTTTACTCAATCCAACAATAAATATTAATAGAATTATTGCTAATAATATTTATTATACTATATAGGAATTAGGAGTACATTGTACTGTTTCGATAAATGTATATATATTTTTTAAAAGCATGCAGCTGCATTCAAGAGACACATAATTAGAAGTTGAAGAATCACTATAGGAACCAGAGTTTTAGTGAGCAGCTGCTCTGCATAATAAAGAAAGGTCAACTCTACTCTTGGTTACATGTCAGAAAGCTAAGAACCAAGGATGTCGCTTTGAATCTCCTACTGACATAAACACCTATCTCACAACCAGGTTCCTGTGTAGTACTTTGAAGATTAGTCTCCAAGCACATGAAAATATGCTTGCTTTTGTTTAATACAATAATTCCCATAGCATCAATAATGAATGAAGCATGGATAAGTAGGATATAACTCAGTCTACTTTAATAGCAATTTGCATTCTTTGTAATTACTGTGTATTGTAAGTGCTAAAAAGATAGACAGTAGTCTGGGCATTGGGTGGTCATGGACAAATTTCAAGCTCTCAGGATCCATTATGTTCTTTATGATGATGTCAGGATCTATGAACCACTCTAATGCAGGTATTAACCAAATAATTTAGTTTTAGGACCATGGCTGATTGAGAGACAACATGTTATAGTGATTTGAGTGTTGGATTATGATTTGGAGACCAGGGTTCAAATCCACACTCAGCTATGAAAACCTACTGGGGGCCCTTCCAAACAGCCTCATAATGTGAGACAAAGAAGTGGGTTTTAAAAATGTGGTACCTGTAAGTAAGTCCAAACATGGAGATGTTTGTCCTGGCAAATAGTATCCTGGTGTCCTGAAAGGCTTGTTTGTAACAGACATGGGGCATCTGCTGAAAGTTGTCTTTTCATTTTTTTTTAAATTGAGTCTCTAAGATGTGCAGGACTGAGATGTGGGTATATGAATGTGCACACAAGCAGATTTCTTGTCATTATCTC